AAGTATCATTCAATTTTTAAATCAGGAATTTACAGTCCACACATTCATTCTCTACCGTTTGGTCCCTGAGCGGGGTAACGGAGCCAATCCCGGCCGGCAATCGGGTGAAGGCAGGGTACACCCTGGACAGGTCGCCAATCCATTGCAGGGCTAACACATAGACAAACAACCACACACACGCACATGCACTCCTATGGGCAATTTAGAGACACCAATCAACCTAAGCTGCATGTCTTTGGACTGTGGGAGGAAGCCGGAGTACCCGGAGAGAACCCACGCAAGCACGGGGAGAACATGCAAACTCCACACAGAAAGCTCCCAGGTGTTCCTTTAATTACTGGAGTTTAACTTGAGGTAGGCGGTGGCTGCAGTCAATTCTGGGACAATAAAACATTACTGATGGCTTCATTATTCAAACGGCATATATTCATATAAGACACATCATCACTGGTTAAAAAAAATATTGAATTGGCAGTCTCCAGAGGTCAACTAGACTACTTGGGGTGAAACACAACACATGTTTGTCAGATGGTGGCAGTGTTGATTCACACAAAGGTTCCTTGAGGGAGGCTCAGAGATGGATGCACGGTCATAGATAAACTTCTGGGCTTCTCAACAAGGTAGAAAGATTTGATTTCAGTTATAATCATACCATCTTCTCTTGAACAGGCATAATAACATGAATTACACAGGTGTCATTTATTCACAGCATGATAAGAGTGTCCGGCCCTGCGATGGACTGGCAACCTGTCCAGGGTGTACCCCGCCTTTCGCCCAATGCCAGCTGGGATTGGCTCCAGCCCCCCCACAACCCCATTCTGGACTATGTGGTATAGAAAATGAGATGAGCGATGAGATAAGAGTGCCCATGCTAAGTTCACCTGTAAGATTTGTGTGTGTGGAAGAATAAGTTCAGTCCTTCCAGGGTTTGTGGTCAGATAAGGGTGTCGTAAAAAAGAGGGGAGTCTTGTGGTTAGACTGGAGAAGAGCCCTTGCATACAATATGGTTGCCTGGCCCCACAATGGATTTGTGTGTGATTTTACAACCATCTGTCTTGATATTAAATGACTGATGTCTCTTATCTTTGTACATGTTGGTTACAGGCATGGTGTCCTTCTGAGTGTTGATTTTAGCTTGGAACCTTTCCTTTGTAGTGGTAAAACTGTCCCAGTTTTATTTGAATGTTAAACAGCTGTCTCCAGCTATGTACCAAGGCGTCTTCACATCTTATCTGATGGAACCAAATGTACTGCCAAGACAACCCTGCAGGCTGGGGGACAAGGTGAGAGAATAGAAAGGAGGTTCTGAGGTGTTAAGCACATCTGGAGGAGCAGAACCCTCTGTTCCTGATCTGTGAAGGCACTTGCACATGGTTTGCCAGTCTGCTGTCAGCTTCGTTACAACCAAGTATTGCTTCATTAATATTGATATTGTTTTACTTGAACACAAAATTCCAGTCTGCTATCTTTATTTGATACTGCATGTTTATAAGACAATATTTATAGTATGACATAGTTGTCCTGATTGGAACTTGGATATCAGCGAGGTCATGTGAACAAACTAGCTTAAATCTTCTTCAAATCAGTATTGTTTGACCTACACACATTCTGTATCAGTTATTGTTATCACAGGAAAAACACAGACATCCAGTCTCTTGGTACTGTTTGTCATAGACCACTCTTAGTGGGTTTGATAATATTTCCCATCTGAGCACTGCTCTGACGTCACAGCTACCTCACAGACATGCTTCTACACTCTTTGGCGACAAGAAACATAAGCTGGTTTGTGTGCTGCATGCCTCTGGCTAGGATTCTCCCTGTACAGTGAAATTTAGGCCTGGAGTTATGTGAGAAGCATCTAATGTAATATAGAAGATCAGCACTGTGCTCACACTCGTAAAAGTCACAGGCACAAACTCGTGCACGGATGGATGAATGCACTTAGGGCTAAGCTTGGAGATGACTACCACAAGCTGTTTCACATTTCCTGACCCGTCCTCAAAGCTTTTCTCAGTATAATGTCATCATCTTTCTCTCCGGGTACTCCGGCTTCCTCCCACAGTCCAGAGACATGCAGCTTAGGTTGATTGGTGACTCTAAATTGCCCGTAGGAGTGAGTGTGTGTGGTTGTTTGTCTACATGCCAGCCCTGTGATAGACTGGCGACCTGTCCAGGGTGGACCCCGCCTCTCGCCCAGTGTCAGCTGGAATAAGCAGTATAGATGGATGGATGGATGTCATTGTGGGGGAAGCTGTGGCTCAGGATGTAGAGCAGGTCGTTTCCTAACCGGAGGATTAGAGGTTCAATTCCTGGCTTGTCCAGTCAACATGTCAAAGTGTCCTTGAGCAAGACACTGGACTCCCAGTTGGTCCTGGTGATAACACCGATGTGTGAGTGTGAATGGGTGAATGGCCAAGTAGTGTGAAAGCGCTTTGAGTGCGCTGTAAAGTGTAGAAAAGCACTATACAAGTATAAGACCATTTACCATTGTCTCACTGTCTGTTGTACTTCTCCCCTTACTCTTCCTGACACAAACTAGTTAGTTAGTAATTAAAATGCTCATAGTAAATTATTATACCTGAGTATGGTGGAGGGGGGACCCATATACACACATGCACATACACAGCTGTGCTCACAGTCAGGGTAGAGATCCTCATTATGAATCATTTATAGCCTTTTCACCACAGCAGAGAACAATCCAAGGTATTTACAAGCAACCACAAATCTACAGTTACACACATACCCCAGCATACATACTGTTTCAATGTTGCCTAGTGTGTTGCAGTGCCCAGGTGTTTCCCAGCCCCTGGAGCTGTTGACAGAAAAGGGATCTGTCCATCAGCAGGTGGCAGCAGCCAGCTCTGGGATCAGAGGTCACATGTTTGATGTCATTGCCACAGCAGAGCTCACAACTCTGCTGAGGCCTCACACTGACATCATTCATTAAGAAAGATTTTAGATTGAGAGCTAGTGTGTCTTCGTTGCTAGTGTGAGTGTTCAAAGCAGCAGAATGCACACATGTGGAGTACTGTATAGAATCTTTAAAGCACAGCTTGCTCTTTCTCTCTAAAACGCACACAGATGCACACACAAAGTAAACCTGAACATGTGTGTATTCAGTACAGTCTGAGACATTCCAGCTCTGTCTACTAACTGACTGGTGAGCCAAACAGCCTGAAAGAATGAGCACAACACTGATGGTTGGAAGGGATTTAAGCTGTTGAATGATTAGGGCCAGGTCTTTGGCTGTTCCATTCCTTTCTGTGGTAAACACAGCGTTTAGAGAAATGAAGTCAACTGTACACATCAGCAATTGCACACGGCCAGTATTTGCTAACTATTTACAGGAGCGTATTTCTGCTCTTTATTGGTCTCCCTTCATTTTGAGAAAAGCAGCAAATGCCACTGTACGACTTGCACTCAATCACAGTAAAAACAGTGAAATGATGCCACACGCTCACAGAGACACAGTCTGTACGTAAATGTACTTACAGTAACAAAATGCCCCTAATGAGCCCTTGTTGAGCAGTGTTTATTTTCCCTTTTCCCCCTGTGCAGGATTTTTATGGGTGTTAAAATAGAGAAGTAGAATAGAGCAGAACAGAACAGAAGGGCCATACTTTGTTATAAAGCAATGCATATTAGAAAAAGGTATACAATATATGCATTATTTCTCACAGTCCCTAGCGGATGTTTAAGTGTATTTTAAATCCTGGCAGCTCTTCTGAATCATACACATCACTGTACAGGAGTAAGAGCCAAAATTTCAATAAAAAACTTTTATAATTACACTGCACACAATGAATAAAGATGCACTTTTACCACTACAGGTACCTTGGGAAATAAAGGTATAGATATGAAAGCTGACTACATTATAAGCAATCTCTAAACCCTCTGGACAACTGTTATATTGATCTGTAAAAGTGTTTGTCAAAAAGTAAAACAAAAGTGAGAACATTGCGAACTGTCAGCACATGAAGAAGAAGACATTTGTTGTTTAAACAACACACACACACACGACAGGTTCCCTGTCCTTTCAAACAATACCGACTGTTATGAGCAATTATTGTAAAAGACTCAAATATCATGCATATTTAATTTAGGATTCAGTAAATAAATATATCCATTACACCCACATTCAGGTTTGAGACCTGTGTTTTTCATCTAGTTTGAACTGGCAAATTGCTTGAGACTGGTGCAAATAATTTGACTCCACGAGAGAGCACTTTAGGCCCTGGTTTTCCATTCTCACTAGGGATCAATCTTTCTCATCCCTCTGAATAATTCTGTTTCTCTTACAGCCAATCTGCACTGTCTTTATTATACTGCAAGGTACTGGCATATAAATTGTAAATTTATGGAAGACAAAGCGTTTTGATTGTCAGTGGAAAGTGTGTGCCCTTTAAAGATTTAGCACTGCTCAAGAATCAACTGGTCTTCTTGCAGAATATATGAAACTTCACAAGCACAACCTCCTGCAGATCCACAAGCACACACACACACATATTAACTGGATAACATTCCCCCCTCCATATCAACCCACCACAAGAATACTAACATAACTCCAATGCTTGCTAAAAGCTGGCAAAATACCGGACACACACGTGCACACTTGCAATTAAGATTGTTTTCACTCCCGTGTGTTGATGCCTTTGAGCACAGCCTGAATGCAACATCCACACACACGCATACTGACACACTCTGCTGACAAACTCTCAGTTCACATGGTAGGCAGCGCTGAAACCAAACTCCCATGGCATCTGTGATAATATATAGAGCTACATTCCCTGAAGGAGAGTCCTCTTTCACTCATCCAAATCAAGCTGTTCTCAGTCCTCTATACAAGGCTAGTGGACTGAAATTGACTTTGTGTTGTAGAGTGCTGTACAACTCTTAATCATAGGCTAAATACAGTATTAATCCTCCAGTGAAAACAGGCTCCCGCTACCTGTCTGTTTTGAAGCCTTTTTGTATCTCGATCTTTGTTTGTTTGTTTGAGTGTCTGTGTGTTGGTGTCTGACCTTTGAGGATGACTTCCAGTTCATCTCGTAAGATGTCAAAGGTGCTGTATCTAGAGCTGGTCTCTGGAATGATATTCTTTTTAAGCCAACCTCCACAGGCGTACTGGTAGAAGTTGTCACAAGGGTCCGCGCTAGCATCCATGTTCTCAATGAGACGAGACGCTGCATGGACAGGGAGGAAACAAGCTCTGAGAACTGGAGGAAATACTTACTTTAATATACTAAAATAATATACCACCTGCATATGTGTCTGTTCAATATAAGGCCACAACCAGCAGCTTGTTAGCATAAACCCTGAAAACAGGGGGAAACAGTTAGTAGGATGTGTCTGATGGAAACAAAATTCACCTACCAGCACCTCTAAAGCTCACTGCACCTGACCAAGAAGTAGTCCAGCACATAATCCTCATAAAACCAACATGTTTCAGTTTTACAAAAGGGGTTAGTTTTGCATATGGATGGAAGGGACATGTCCCTACCAATATTTTGGGAGGACAGAAATGTCCCTACCAATAACTGAGCAAATCCATGCACACTATCTTTGGAGTGAAGTCATATTAGATCATTCCAATGTGCCCTCCCTGAGGCTACATCTACAAGATGACAAGCTAGCATCTGACTAACTGAAAGGGAGGGGACGATGTGAAGCTCATGTTACATGCAAATGTCATATTTGCTCCCACACACAGAGGAGACAATAGCTGTCAATCATTGTGCTGATAACAGTATGTTCAACCAGGGGGAGGATGTTGTTCTCCCTATGGTCTTGGCACCAAAAGTAAACCCTTGGTTTTACACTTCATTTTTATGCACACTGATCAGCCATATGGTTATAACCCCTGACAGGTGAAGTGAATAACATTGATTAGCTCATTATAGTCAGTGTGCGGGGTATATTAGGCAGCAAGTGAACATTCAGTCTTTGAAGTTGATGTGCTATAAGCAGGAAAAACCACTGAGTGTAAGGATCTGAGTGACTTTGACAAGGGCCAGACTGTGATGGCTGACAAACCTGGTCAGAGCATCTCCCACACTGCAGTTCTTGGTGGGTGTTCCTGCTTTGCAGTGGTTAGTACCTACCAACAGTGTCTAAGGAAGGACAAACAGTGAACCAGCGACAGGGTCATGCACGCCTACAGCTCACTGATGATTAGGTGGATCTACTGTAGTTTAAACTTTTGAATTTCATTTGTACTTTTCAAAAGATTACATTTTATTTGAATCTCTGTTAATTTGAGGGAAAATGAGAAACACTGGTCACTGCTCTTTATGAAGAGAAACATTCAGAGGCTACAGTGGTGATATCACACCTAGAGTGGTGAGGCTGTTGAAGTTGTCTAAAAAATCTCTAACTCATCCTCACAACCACAGTTTTCACTCCTTTTACATAAGTATTTCACTGAATGGTCGACACATTCGTGCTCTTCCTGACAGTAGAACTATGGAAACAAACAGTTTCACAGAAGAGGCACAGTGAGCTGAGTGACACGAGTGTCAGCCACCTGCCTCTTTGACTCTGTGTGCTAGGCAGGTGGTCATGATATTATGGATAATCAATGTATAATTAATTATTGTTTAATATAATTAGACAAGTAAGAATTCATATGCTAACTGGTGAATTCTAGAGATGCTGTTACAGTAGGTAGATTTTGCTCCCAGCTTGTCAAGTCATACCAGCTGTAGCACCCTGTTTCCCATCTTTAAGCTAAGCTAAGATGACCGGCAGCTGGCCTTATAATGAACAGACAGAAATGAGAGTGGAATTGATCTTCTCATCTAACTATCGGCAAGAAAGTGAACATGCTTCCCAAAATGTTGAAAATGGTGAACTGTTCTTTCAAAATGATGTGGGCAGAACAGAGCTGAGGTAGAATACTCAGGGCTCATTTTGCATGTTGTTGAACGCCCTGCACAGGCAAGGGGAGCTGAGTGACACGAGTGTCAGCCACCTGCCTCTTTGACTCTGTGTGCTAGGCAGGTGGTCATGATATTATGGATAATCAATGTATAATTAATTATTGTTTAATATAATTAGACAAGTAAGAATTCATATGCTAACTGGTGAATTCTAGAGATGCTGTTACAGTAGGTAGATTTTGCTCCCAGCTTGTCAAGTCATACCAGCTGTAGCACCCTGTTTCCCATCTTTAAGCTAAGCTAAGATGACCGGCAGCTGGCCTTATAATGAACAGACAGAAATGAGAGTGGAATTGATCTTCTCATCTAACTATCGGCAAGAAAGTGAACATGCTTCCCAAAATGTTGAAAATGGTGAACTGTTCTTTCAAAATGATGTGGGCAGAACAGAGCTGAGGTAGAATACTCAGGGCTCATTTTGCATGTTGTTGAACGCCCTGCACAAAAGTGCAGATGAGAGTATAGACCACTTTAAGCCTTGGATGCTCACCAAAATGGTTCATGCTCATAACAGGCAAAAAACATACTGCACACAGGTACAAAAACACATTCCAAACATCCAGTGTGCACCTGCAAAAGTAAAGCGGTATAATGGCAGCAGCTGGGTTCGGCATCAGTACTGGAACTGTTTTAACTTTTTTGAGCTACAGTTAAATTACATGAGACAGCTGAGAGCAATCTCTTGTGACAAGGCTATCTGTCACACCTGAGTGAACTTGGTTCCCCAAAAATGCATCAGAAATTAATTGGCATCTGGTGCTAGAAACAAGAGATAGATTTAAAAATCTTCAATTTGCTATAGCAGAAAGAAATGTGACTGATTGATGTGAGAAAGTAAAGTAATAATGTATAACGTTATATTTAAAGGGGGTTAACTAGGGCACAGGTCTATATCCATTACATGTCCACTGGCAGGAACACTGGAATTCCAGTAAGAGACCAAAAGCTTGGATATGCTGAATTACTTCAGCTTTGGACACATATTTGCTTAAACTGTACTGTATATACTTACTTATACGCGTTGCCAGTTTTTCAGCTTCTCTTGTACTTTTGTTTGGAGATGATGAGAGGACAATAACCTTTTGCGGCATGTTTCTAATGATCAAGAAGTGTCCATTTTCTCTTTGTCTGGAACCCCTGAGCTTCTGCAGCTGTCTCAGATTTGCCATTCTGCCCTTCTCCAAAAAATCAGAGCCCTCACACCGATACAGTAAATGAATGACAGAATAAGGCGAAGACACACAATACCTACCTGATTGTGTGCAGTCAGCTGTGGTGCAGATTTCATCTAGAGGAAAATGCAAAACAAATCATCACTCAGTGGGATTTTTGTAGCCATCGGTCATTATATTAAATGCTTGTTCTCTTTCTCCTCCTGTTTTTTCATCTCTTTGTCATCCTTTATGCATATATAACGTTCAACTGCTCAGAATGGTAATTTGGGTGCTCAACTCTTAGTCAAACTGAATCTGGCATGTTCTGACACACCAGTAAATGGACATATGACCTTAAATAAAGTGGTGTATGCACATGCTGCGCACACGGTTGAGTGAAGACGCAGGTGCAAAGACAAAGTTATTAAACCTTGTAATTTTCCTGACATGGCAGCTTAAATATTTATCAAGCATGACACTGCAAACGGCAAACACACACACACATGTACTTCTGTCTTTATGAGGACATAATGGATTCCATACCCCTTTAACCATCAGAATTAAATGCCTAAACCTAACCCTTACTCTAACACTAACCTAAGCCTAATTCTAATCTGAACCCTAAAACCAAGTCTTAACTCTCAAAAAGCTGTTTCAGAAAGTGAGGACCAGCCAAAATGTCCTCACTCTGTAGCAAAAACTTTATTGGTCCTCACTATGGAGCAAGTACAAGAACACACACACCAACCCAGCATTTTTTTAAATGTATAATCAAGCTTAATTAGACAAACATATTGTAAATTATTGTAATTATAAATATAACCATTGTCTATATCAGTCTGAAAGCTCTTCTGCCATAATGTACATATAGATACATATATAATAGCTACCTCACTTTTCCTCTCATTCCTTTCCTATTTTTGATTGCACACATTTCCTACTTTAGTGCAGACACTGTTTCTTATTTTATTGCTCTACTTTTCATTTTTATTCTCACAGTTACTTTCTATTCCTGTTGCCTTACAACACACTGAAAGCCTCTGTACTGGAGTCAAATTGTTGGATGTTCAAACATACGTAGTAATTAAAAACCATTTTGATTCTGATTCTGATTCTGCATCAGGATTTTGACCTTCAAACTTGCTCCATTTGCCAACTATTAATTTACTGATCTTCAAATCACCTGTTTATTTATGAGGAAAGGAGGTTGGGGGCGTCTGTTCAGTCTCACTGTGTACGATATAATGTGCATACACATTACAGAATTCTTCCTAATTTACACAAAAGTCTGAAGTGTGAAATAGCAAAAGGTTTTGACCTATGTGTGTCCTTCTTTCAGGTGCAGTGGTTGTGCATTTCAACTATGCACACAGCTTGACTTTCTCTTAGATAATGCTCCGCCATGCTTTCCAATACTCATGAATTCAGCCAGAAGTGATGGTCAGTGCACGTCCACAGTTTAAAGGAGGCAATCTCCAAAAGTTTAAAGAGGGTTGCTTAATGTTCTGCCGAAAAGAAAATCTAATGTCCTTAACACCCACTTCAGCTATTTAATTACATGATACACTTGTTTTGATCCCATTGGTTTTGTCGGGTTTACTGAAGTTTCATCAGTGTGAGCCTGATAAAGTGGTTTTTCTAACAGCCACTCAAGGTTTCAGATACTTCTCAACTTGTCATTATCAGCATGAGTCACATGCCCTTAAACGCAGCACTTACCCGTCTTCTGAGTGGCAAAGAGGATGATGAGGGCGACGATGACGATGAAGAGCAAGGAGACAATAGTAATGAGGCCAATTTCCAGGGAGGTCCAGCGGGGCTTCTTAGCTGACTTGGGGGTGCTGGTCTCTGCCATTCTCAGGTCTCCTCCTTCAGATGCCGGCAGTATCAACTCACCTGAGGAGAGAGAGAGAACCACAGAAGTAGTTGTGAAACAGTTAACTGACTGACAGCAACTTAATCTGCATCAGTTCTGATAATCACTTCACACTTATTAGTCCAAAGGGTTATTTTATGGATTCTTAGATATGAGAATGAGCTGCTTTTCTCTGGTTAATATCATAAACTGAATAATTTTTGACTTTGGACTGTGCTTAAAACCCAAAATTCATCCCACAATATGTTTTAAATAGGTAAGTTGTTGTATGACACCATAATTGAACTAGAATTATCACTTCGCCAGCCAGTCAAATTCACAGGTATGTCACAGAAGTGAGGCTTTGACCTTTGACCACCAAACTTTAATCACTACATCCTTGTGTCTGAGTGGACACTTGTGCCAAATCTGAAGAAATCCCCTCAAGGTGTTCCTGACACAGCTACCGTATGTACGGTGAACCCAAAAACATAATGCCTCTGGCTGCGGCTATCACCGGCACAGGAGCATACAAATCCAGTTGTGATCATCAAATCTCTGAAGTCAGCAAACAAAGACACCAAACACTTGCTGCTTGCAGCTTCTCAACAGGAAGGATTTTGGCAGGATACTATTTTCAATCAAAATATTAGATTTTGACATTATTAAAGCATTCATTATGTTACATCTTCAGTGTCATTAGTTACATGCTGATAATTAAAAGAGTGAAAAGATGAAAAAAGACATGGCAGTGCTAAAAACCAACAGACAATATCTGTTGTTTTTTTATCACTGCTATGTCTTTTTTCATCCCTTCGCTGGATGAACAGTACAGTGTGTTTTTAAACCCATTTTGGAGCAAAAAGGTGAGAACAAGGGAAGTCCTTACCCATCAGCGGCTGAGCACTCCAGACAAACAAACAAACAAACAAACAAACAAGAAACACACACCTCTGAGAAACAGAAAACCAGCGAGACCTTCTCTCTACTCCACACTACACAGTGTTCTTTTCCTCTCTGGGGCCAAGTGAGAACTTTATAAAGTTCAAAGAACAAGCAGCAGTTAAGTCTGTCTCTGAAGGCAATTAATCCTTAATCCTTTACTGATGACACACACACATACACACACTTTTACAAGCTGGTGTCATGAGGCGCCTGTGCCGCCGGGCGGGTCTCTCTGCATGCAGGCTGAGATGAGAGCGCTGCATGACTAAAGGACAAAGTCTCTTAGTTTCCTTTGAACAAATAGACAGCCACATACACACGACAGTGTTTACTGCACACACAGATATCCACATGTACCACACTTCACAAATACCCACAGTTACCCTGCTGAATGTCAACTTCTCTATCATTCCTCTTCATGACAAAACAATAATTCAAAGTAAAGTAAACTCCCCTGTTACAGCCATTATCCAGCCTGGTAATTGGCCATTACTGTGCGCACCAAATACAGCTCCCTACAGACTGCCACACCGCAGTGTGCATGATTTCACATAAGATTCACAACAGAAGAATAGTAACCAGATTCTCCAACAGGCATAAGATCAAGTGAAAATATGGGAGGGAAATGAGTTATTAAAGACATACACAGAGGAGATGCAAACTGATTTGTTTATCTTCCAGTCAACTTCTCCCTGGTTGCAGGAGAGAAGCTGTGTCAAATTTGCTCTATTTTGACTGTGAGAACAGACCCACAGCTGTAATAAAACCATGTGTGAATGGAGAGGAAGCACTGGACAAAGATAAACTGGAGGAACATGCAGAAATGATCGAGAGAGTAAAGGGAGGAAAGAACGATGTAAAAACAAAGTGGGACACCAAGAGATCCTAAATCATATTTAAGTGTGCTGAGGCACTTACTGCATGTCCGTCTCGTGCATTATCAGCCGTACATTATGCTCAGTAAGAATTGGGAGTTGTACAGTCAAATAATTTGAATTCAGACATCAGTGCTGCCTCTGGGTCAGTTAAGGAGCTTGTTGTCATAATATGTGCATGTCACTGAGACTTCTAATGGATGTTTTTTCTATGAGGGAGGTGGGCTGTGTTATTTCTGTCTTATTTATAAGGTGGGCTGTCATATCATCTACTTGTGCTACTGCAGAGTGCAGCCGCTCTTTTTTATAATGTGGCTCTGATGTTTTTCCTGAATGCGTTTATGAAGGTACGTGCTGCTGTGGTTGCATGATTAAGATAATGGAAGAATGCCAAAGGTCGAGCTCTGTCTTTATGTCATGATATATGTATAGAAATGAACAGAGACCCTGTCCTGTGAGACCTGAGAAACCCCTTCAACATTAAAGCCATCATTCACCAAGACACCTGAAAACACCCATGCGCCTGACTTTGGACACGCGCGCGCGCGCGCACACACACGTCAATACTGAGACTACTTGGACAAAGTCACGTTTTTACAACCTTTGTCCACATGAGCATGATGTAGTCGAATAAGTACAGTAAGGTGGCCTACTTCAACTTAAAAGTATTACACCTTCTCTGGGATGTGATTTTCAGCACTGGGCCTATAGCTGCACAGGGAAGACTAAAATTACTTCAAAATGATTTTTGATAGAGGAGACCTGATACCCAAAGGTGCTGTGATCCAGCTGAAATGAAGCTCCCCTCTTAAATTGCTTTCCTAATGGTTTTCTGATGGCAGTATGAACATAATAGAAAAATAACTTTTAAAGAGACATAACACCAAACTTGAAACATCACCAGTGCCTATGCGAGTGGAATACGGTGAACCAAAACCACAAAGTAAGCTTACGGGATATTCAAAAGAAATAAAATGGCACAAGAAATGTTTTCTGACAGGACGAAATGCACATTGGTGTTAAAACTTGTGTGATACAAATTATTCAGCTGCAGCACACGCACTGATTGGTAACAGAGCAGGACGCAGCTAAATGTGCCCCAGCTCCTCATCTCCTGTTGCACGTCGGGAACTCCAAGGGGGTTGGAATAATCAGCCGGTGCACGGTGCCACCGTGCCACCCACACAGCTCGCACACACAAACACGCGCACCAAAATAACGCACACCGACAAGCAGAGGAACAGACGAACACAGATGGCACCGCGTTATAACTAGCGCGCGGGGTGCGTGAGCGACTTACCAGATGTGTCCGGAAATTTTCGGTCGATGATATATATGGGCATCACATCCACTGATCAAACATCCATCAAATCCGCAAAGGGAGCGCGAAGTGCGGATCGATCTGTTACAGACGATCTATTTGTTCACCCTGGATTTCAACAAGGCATGAACCGATCCGATCCCGCCTCTCTGCTTCTCCCTTTGGCTTTCTATTCTAGGAGTGCACATTCGCACAAATACACGCACACACACTCACGCACAGAACCGTCGCTACTGTTCTGTAGCACATCTACCCAGAGAGGATTGCTGAATGCAAACGATCCATCACACCATTTGTCAAGTGTGTGATCCACAGCGGGGTAGAAGTCGCCTTCTGAAGTTCCCCGTACGCAGAGTCGTCGCCTCCTCCGTCAGGGCGGCGTTTAGAAGTGACCCCGTCAGCAGCAGTTGCTGCCAGTGGCGCCTAAAGAGCTTCGGGGCGCAGGTTTAAGTGAAGGGTGTGATGTGTGGCAGCATGTTTACGCTCAGCACACTGTGCTTAGAAAGCCATCCAGTAGCAAAATCCCCGTGGTTATCATACTGATATAAGCCATCCAGTAGCAAAATCCCCGTGGCTACAATATTGATATAACAACTGCAGGGACTCAAAGTGCACTGCAGTGAGTTAAAAGTGTACTTTTTAGTGGGATTATTCCCGAAGGTAATTTGCACATATGTTGAATAAATGGTTACTTTCTAAAAGTAAACTGTAAAATATTATCTGTTCAGTCACCAAAGTGTCCTTGTCCATTCTAGGATCATGTTGCTCATGTTCCCCACAGTGCAAGATCGTAATTTTTAGAGGGAGATCCCCTAGAGGTCCCTGGACTCCCATCAGGGAATTATATCATTTAAAACAAAACTATTTCATACTCTGACTGACGTGCATACTGTGTTTTATTGTCAGTTCTAGGTATAACTCATATGGTTGGCTCCAGCATTGTTGCTGCATATTGTTGTGTCAACTCCATAAAGGGAGATCAAGGTGTTTATCAGCAGTGATGGAAGAAGTAGGCAGATCCCACCACAGTGTAAAAGTCCTCTGTTACAAGTAAAAGTCCTATATACTTCATATTATTGGTTGATTCATCATTGTGCACATGACATTTAATGTTGCAGCTGGTAATACCTGGCTTATACATTTATAATTTGATGTACTGCTGTGTATCTTTTAACTTTTCAACCAAAGATTACCAAAGTCTTATAGTTCTGGTTCTGAAAAGTAACCAGTAATTAAAGTTATAACCTAAAAGTAGCTCAGTAAAAGTAAATATTTGTTTCTAAAATGTAGTGAAGTCAAAGTATGAAGTAGCACAAAATGAAAATACTTAACTAAAGTACAGATATCTAGAAATTGTACTTAAGTACAGTACTTGAGTAAATGTACTTAGTTACTTTCCACCTGTGTTTATCGGATACATATAATGAAAGTAGTTAAGCGTGGAACACAGCTCAGTTTATTCATCTTAAATCGCCCACCAGCTTTTGGAAGGTTGTATATGGCATATTGGCAGGAGCATACTGAAATATATTCAAAAGTGAAACTGTGGCTATAATATAGAATTAACTTTTTTTTTACTTGCAAATTTATCCTATTTTAACAGATCATCCTGGACATCTTTGGCCTGAAAAATTACCAAATTCGCATTTACTGTTCATCCACATCTCAGCCACTGCTTAAACTTAAGTGGTTTTAACAGCATCACGTGTCTAAAGCTTCATGTACATGAAACACATTTTTCTGTTTACATTAGAGTTTAAACCAAGACAAGTGCATAGTGCTTTTCTGACACATGAAGAGGATATCCGTGCTTTGAGCGTCCGCGTGTCCGCTAACGTCGATAGTTTTCGTCCACAAGATTCCACGCCGATTCTGTGGTGCAGGCCAACAGTTTGCACTGCAGTGCTTGGAAACCGTGGGCGAACGCGGATCCTCGATTTGTATGAATAGGAACGCGTGCGTGCCCGTCGTCCGTTTCCGCGTGCGCATGAGGGAATGCGCAAAGCATGAATATCCCCTTAAGGCAGCTCCCAGCACTGTATAATGTTTTTGATTCAGCTCCAGTAAAAACCTGCTTTCTCTGTAATCAGCATTTCTCCAGCCCACTGTTGGCTCATTAGTCTATTCATGTGCCAAGTATTGTAAAATGGTTCACTATCCAGCCTACATGAAAAAAACTAACTTTGTGCTACTGCTCTGTTACATGTAGCTCTTCTGCACTTGTCCTCTTTAAGCTGAACATCACAGGTCACTGGAGGGTCACTGCTGCATGAGCAATTAGCTCTGTAAGCACAGGAAGATGTTGCATCCGAAAGTGAAAGTTAGCATTGGAGTGAGAAGAAAGCAGAGTACAGGTACATCATTGCTGAGGATAAAGGATCTCTCTCTTCAGTGGAAGCAAGGGACCAGACTCCTGTACTTGACTGCACTGTTATCAGTGGGAGATTCATACAGTCTATGTTAAGCTCTGTTTGCTGTGCATGTGCATTTATATACTATTTTTAGGCACAGTATATTATTATAAGTGAGGGAGCATCTGGTGAAAGAGACATTTTAAAGATACCTACATTACGTATGCTATTTTTTTTCTAAACTCATAAGTAAACATAGCAATAAAATGGTGTAAAAATACTGTGTTACAAGTAAAAGTCCTGCATTCCAAAAGTTACTTTAAAAAGTGCAAATGTATTAGCATCAAAACATTAAGTACTAAAGGTAAAAGTACAAATTATTACAGTTCAGATTTGTGTATATCATATTATTGTATTATAATTACTGACACATTACATTGTGCACATCACATTTAATGTTGTGCAGGTAAAGGGGGAGCTGGTTTTAACTGACTTATATGCATTTAATTTGAATGACCGCTGTGCAGCTTGTGGACTTTCCACCACAGATCAATGAGATCTTTTAATTATACTGTATTTTTGTGTTAATTTGGTTCTGAAAGCTAACAAGTAACTAAAGTGTAAAGTAAATGTAGTGTAGTTAAAAGTACAAATATTTACCTCTAAAATGTAGTAAAGCCAAAGTCTGAAGTAACAGTCAATATTTACCTCTAAAATGTAGTGAAGCCAAAGTCTGAAGTAACAGAAGATGAAAATACTCAAGTAAAGTACAGATACCTCAAAATTGTACTTAAGTACAATATTTGAGTAAATGTACTTAGTTACTTTCTACCACCTATTATGCCAACCCTTTTCCAATGCTTCTGATAATGAACAGCATGATTCCCCTTTGAGGAGTTTCCATCAGTTTGTAAATCATTTGAATATCTGTGAAGATGAAGTGACAGCAGTTTTCACAGTAGCTTGTCAGTGCATCTAAAAGATGTTCACATTTTCCTGCAATGCAATCTCTGTGATCATATTTTCCTTCATTTTGTATGTGCTCTTCAAATAAAACCCCTCCACCCTTCTCTGTTGGCCATTTAAGCTCTGTTCACTGTCAGTAAACCCAGCATGTTATAGACTCCTGGAGAGTATTGGATTTTAATTGCGCTGTGTCCAGGGAGACACATGTATTAAAAAGGTTTTTGCTGCACACCTGCGCAAACACACACACTAACACTAGATACACAGACACACATACATTACTCTTTAGCTCTTGCAGTGAAGCCAGCTATTGTCAAACACAACAGTGCATCAAGTAGCACCATGCGGCTCGCTGCCATATTTACACATAAATCACACCCTTCTGACTTTAAAGATTTGGTTTTATTTGTACTTAAGAGGAATTTGCTTCTTAAAAATAAACATACAGAGGTGGGAAGTAACAAAGTAAAAATACTTTGTTACTGTAGATAAGTAGATTTTTCAGGTAACTGTACTCTACTTGAGAGCTTTTTACTTTTACTCACTGCATTTTAACACACATATTTATATCCCTTGCGGTTTCAAATCAGGCTAGTTACTTGTAGTTTTAATACATTTGCGGGAAATTATCAATTATTTTTATTTTCCACTTGCTGCAAAATGTGCACATCGCTGCACTGGGCGACATGTTTCTCTGCTTGGTTTACAATCTGCTAGCTCCTCATGCTGTCCCTGAGCTCTCACACATACACAGTTGAGCCCTGTTTTACTTCAGGCACTGTAAAAACATTTGAACAGATATGCAGTCTTGTGTTTTGTAATGAGGAAAGGCATCGCCCGGTGCAGCAGTGTGTTTCACTGATTTGATTCTAATTGTTTATGAACAATGACGGAGCTCTATGGCACAAACGAATAAACTGATCCAGGGTGGAGACTGACAGACAATAACTGTGAGTAGACACAGTTCACTGTTGGTTTTAGTCTCTGTATGGGGATTGTTGGAAATACTGTTAATATAGAAAATGGCCAACCTTATCCTTTAAGGCTTAATTAGGCCTGAAATGTATTTTTGCTTCTTAATAGGCTATTTTTAAGTAAAATGGTTTAATGATCTTGGAATTATACTAATATAATATGCAGCTCTGTTAGGCTTGCACAGCTGGTAAAAATGCCCTTTGAAGGGATATTGTTTACGTTTATACTTTGAGTACACTTGTATACACACTCAAGTAAAGAGTTTCAGTCAGTACTCCCCGTTTTACCAGTCTTTTTTATTTCCACAGGTATCTGTACTTTTACTTGAATAACAAGTGCATGTGCTTTTCCCTCCTCTGTAAGCATTTCCACCTTTACTTTGGTTATGATTCATCATCAGAGCTTTGAGCGACCATGTGGTTTTGGTATCAATTAAAATCACTTCCAAGGACACTTGGAATAATGTGTTCCAGAGAAGCAGACACAATAACAACTAAAGTGTTCCGCATTTGGTCCACATATGCTTGTCAGTGTGCAAAGCACATTTTCCCACAGTTTAAGTAAGTTATCTTTTACATGGTGGTAAATTCAGTTGATGTATAATTGTTGGGAGTGTATCTTCAGAGTTTGCAAGATGTCAGGGCTCTTTGGTTTGGATCAAGGTCACTCAGCCGGGTTGTTCTATCAGCACCTCCCTTCAAGAGCTGTCAGGGGAGTAACTCTTATCAGCAGCAGACGGCCTGTCCAGTTCTGCTCCAAGTCTGCTGTCAGAGCTCATAAACACACATTCACCTACAGTTTAGCACCAAAGTACAGAGCCACGCAAACACTCCAAGGACTCGCAGTATACTCCACACACTTTAACCTCACTGCTGTCACTCAAAGGGGCTTTCACGCTGAGGTTTATGTCGGTCATGAGGCAGCAAAGAGAGGACAAGAGAAAACAGAAGAAGAGAAGAGAAAGAGGAACCTTTTTAAAAGTACCAACTTATCCATTGTTTCCAGACTGGCACAGGATGGTTCAGGATTTTTTCTAAATTTGTTTCTGTTATCCACGAGGAATTGGATGGGGGGGAAACAATGTTTTTCAGTGTCCAGAAGAATTCCACTATAATGACTGAGGACTTTTGTTATCCAAGATTTTGGCAGCCGTGCTCCCTGCAGTCATTTCTGTGATGTATTTGACTTCGTACCGGATACAATGCGTGATAAAAAATTAGCTAAGTGAA